TAAAAAAACTCAAAGCTTCTCAAGTAAATCAATTGGCCTGTAAAGTTTCAGTGACCTTTTTTAACTCCATCCCCTTTTGAATTACCACATGAAGTTAAAAAAACCAAAGCTCTCATAAAAGAGAACCTTCTAGAGTAATGAAAGCCTAAAATAATATTCTCACACAAAGGCATTTGTTTGGTGAAGAGAAAAAAGCATAGCTTTGCTACCTTTTAGACTATCAGAATTACGAAATATCTTGTGTTTGCACTTGCAATACAATCACATCTTCAATCCAAGTTAATCTCTCAAATCCTGGATTTCACGTTGTTGGCTTTTCTAGTCCATTCTTTAATCTAACTTCTATTCCTCAATCTGTATATTTTATAAAAATATGAAGAAGCATACCACGGAGTACTAAACAAGAAAGCTAACTGTGGAATCTCAACATAATATAACCACACATAAATCAAGCACTAAATACAACATCACATACCTGCTGCAATAAGGGAGATGATGGACAGTGTGGAGAAGAATAGAACAGATGCTCCTATTGCTATTAACTATGCTCTCCAATTCCTCCTCAGTGAAGCGCATGCTTTGAGAACCGATTGTGGAAGCGACTCGTAACATGGATGGCAACATGCGAGTCAGCGGCTTGGAGTTTTAGTCGGAAATGGCTTGAATATGCGCCTATCAAACACTTATTAGTTATTACAAAGTAAATATTTTTTATTGAGGAAATTACAGAGTAAATGTTAGTATAGTATGAAAACTCAGGCGGTTCGCAACTTCTTGCGGAGTATAGTTCTAAACGCCAGCACAACAACTTGGCTTCTAAGAACGATGCAAGTTTAAACAGTAAGGACATTTTTGGCTGAATAACTAAAGGTACAACTTTCTAAGCATAGTTTACAAAAAATATGGATGGAAAAAGTGCATCTATTTTTGAAGTGGAAAAACTGGTTTGGGGTTGAGGATGGTTATATGTTGATGGTTAAGATGTGAAGAGAATATACAGTTGTCATTAAAAGTGAAGACATTTAAATTTTGATTGTTCGGACTCCAAAATTCAGAATATATGCTTGTCAAGTAGACATGAGTGAAGTGGAAAAAACTTACAGGCCCCCAAAATAGTTAGTCCATCCTTAAGCGTTCAACAACTATCAGTGGGAAGGTAGAATCTGCAATATGATTGCTGAAGTTAGATAGGCTACAGTTTCAATTCATTTGTTAAGTAAGCATAATCTTAAATTGTGAGCCAACATAGAAAGCAGCTGGTTAAAGGGCGTCGAATGTCTGTAGGGATGAGCAAACGTAAGGCAAGATAGCATGTGAAATACGATCAGGTGAAGGTAGAAGACATTTTTTTTGCATATATTATGTAAGCAGAATCTTAAATACTGATGCAACATAGACAGAATGGCCTTAAACATTCTCCTATGTCATAAACCATGATCACTAAAGAATTAAGATGAAGTATGTTTCCTTAATAATCAATAGGCACGAAAAGTAAAGAATAAGGTTGTGAATGAAAGTGACATTGTGTAGGAACAAAATTACACAAACCATACTACTCCTCAGCCAAGGGAAAAACGAAAGGTATGCCAAAATCGTATAAACTTCTCATCAGACATGAAATACTTCAGCATAGTTTTGAGATGCTACTGCATATTAGAATATACCGCAGAGTATCATTTACTTGATCCTGCATAGTGTTCAGATGCAATCCATAAATAATGTACTCCTTGGTAAACGTAAAGAAAGCCACTGTCAACATATTCAAACATTAAAATAAAAGTTAATGAAAGTAAACATAATGATGATATTCAAATAGTAATGAAAGTGATAAAGTATGTGTAAGTTCATCAAAAACCCAAGGTAAATAGGAAAGCAACCCGGCTGTCGTAAGGTGTGACTAAACGTATTACCCAAGAATAGTGCTTAATCTTGATGAAAAAAATATATCGAATTCTTTAGGATTGGTCAACATAAAAGAATGATTCTCTCGCCTTTCTCAAAGACACAAATGGGAGATAATAATGTTCGTGACTATGAGGACCCATCGAAGGACCCCAACGAAAAACCAGTTCTAATGATCCCAGATGGAAATATGGCTTTTGGCCAAATATGAACAACAAAAATCTTGTGGAATGCACATTATGCCACAAAAAAATCAATTGTGACATAATGTTGGATGATGATATTTGACAACTCAAAACGAGAAGTTAGATATCAATATAATCTTTGACTACTTTTTGTGCTTATTATCCTTGTTGGATATTTGTTTCTTAAGTACTCTTTGGTATGTGACTTTATGTGCTATTTTCAAACATAATTTTGCTTTGGTAATGATATTTTGTCATATAAATATATATAGTTATTCGTAGTGAATGAAGATATATATAATGTTAAAAGTTTCAATACTTATTGTGATTTCTCGACTAGGATACGACTAGTCTACGACTAGTCGACTAGTCCCCTAGTCTCCCCGTGACCGACTCGACTCGACTTGTCGACTTAACAACCATGGTCATGGTAAACTTTCACATTGGTATTTGGAAGGGATAAGCTGTGTTGAAATAGGCTTTTCAAGACCATCTGAGCATGTAATCACAATTGCTTACCAAACCGAATACAAATTGTCCTCCAACCCTTACACAGTGACCAGTGTATACAAATCTACTTTTATATAACTTAATAATTTCAGTTGCCCATTTTTTTCCTCTATGGTGCTTTAAAAGGTTGTGTCCCATGCTAATTTCTTACTCTCCTGTGCAGTTTATACTTTTCCGAAGTTATACTTTGTCGCTGTACTTTTTAATCAACCAGTCTTAACTACATACCTAAAACAATGCAACCTTAAAAGACCACAAAAGTAATATGCAATTCTGCAGAGTGTATGGTGCATATGTTTTTCCAATAAGCCAAAGTTTTTAAATATAAACTAATTAAAAGGAACACAAATATATCCAGCTAAGTGAGGTTATTTTAAAAT